GGGGGAGGGACGAGAGTAGCTCAATGGTTGGCGAATTGAACGTTATTCGCGGGCAAGAAGAGGCACGATTAGAGCGATTAGAGAGAGACGACGGCGTGCGTGTGCAACGGAACGGTTCCATATATCTAGCCAAGCTTTGCGCAACGTTCCAATGCGCCTGGTCTCGGTCTCAATTAACGCAATTACCCGCTCCCTCGTCTAATTACCTATCAAACGGAATTACTATCGCAGTGTGTACGCGCGCGCTCGCGTACTCGCCACCGAGCTCCCGTCTCTAATGAACGTTATTAATTGCTTTATGATTTTTCGATAAAACTTCGCCGCGTAATCAAGTTATTATCCCACGTTGCGCGTCCTCTCTCGTTGCCGTCTACGATCCACGGTCGTTCGTTCTCGTCTCGTTTTTACCTTCTCCTTCGATCCGCGCGAGAAAGAAGAGAAGAAAGGAACGCTGTGGGAACAAGCCGAGTATCACAGTTTATTCGCTTTTGAATTTATTTTTTTTACGGAAGTAACACTTTGGATATGTGAAACGCAGCGTGTATGATCAGACGTCGGTAAATTATGAAAAGAAAGAGACGTTTGCGTGCAAAGAGAATAGTATTTAAAATAGTATAAAGAGTAGAACGAGATGCGTTTTGGAGAATTTTACGTGTCGACAGTGGATCCTTGGCTATTTTATTAATAAAAATAATCGATTCGCTATCAAGAAACAAGGAATCGAGATGAAGAAAGTGCCGCGAGATCAGGCTCGTTCGCGAATGGAGAGATACTTTGGCCAAAACTTCGCAGAGGAGACAGTTTATAACGTAATTTATATGCGCGCTCACCGTCTAGAATCTCGCGAAGGCCGAAGAAAGGTCGCGAGGCTTAACATTCGGATTACTCGCGAGCGTTATTCTCGCGAGAAGTTCCCGCAGCAGGCTTATTTGAATATCGCACGGCCAAGTTTTATAACAGTCTCGTCGGATCTGTTTGAAGCCGCGTCTTTGTTCGTCGAAACCGTTTCGCGTTTCACCCTTCTTCGCGATCATTGTCGCTGATACGGAAGGGGGGCGGCGATTACGTAGCGAAAAAATTCGAATTACTTCGAACCAGGATTCGAAACAGGTTGTGAAACTTTCGAAAGTCTCGAGGGATTAAAGTATTAAAACTTCTCGTTTCGATTGGTAGCTACGCGCACGTGTACTTGCGCTAACGCGAACGTTAACGCGAACGCAGCCTCGGTATCGCG